TTTTTTCCAGAAACCGCTGCTAGCGACGTCTGATTCACCGATCATATTCGAACGCTGCTGATCGCGAAAAGAACATTATAAAAAAAAAAAAAATGAAAAAAATTGGTATAATAATATGTGAATAAAATAAATTCGTTCGCATCGCTATATATGTACTTAATTTTACTACCCATCCTTTGCTCTAGTAAAAGAAAAAGATAAGAACACAGCGTATTGCGAAAACTAAGTCATAAAAAAAAGACAAAAGGAAAAAAGGTTGTCGTACTTCTATGGGCGGGTGGCGGCGGCCCACGGCGACAGCGGCGGCGGCGGCCCGCAATGCATTTCTGGGGTGGTCGCGGGGTCGCGGCAGCGACCGGGGGACCTTCTCCGCGCTCTAGCCACATAGAATTAGAACTCGCCTACTACACCTACTCTCAATAATTACTAAACTTGGTTGTATTTAGGTATTTAAAATAATTAATAAACGTTATTTCAACAGAAAAATTATATTACGCTATATCTTGGTCGAAAAACGGTTGGAGCATATACCCTTTGTAACACTTTTCGTTCTATAACTATTTGTTTTTTGTTCATGGCAATATTTCATTTTTTTTGTGATGTTTTTTTTGTTGTCTTGCACGTGACTGCAGTCCCCAAAATCTTACTGCCATTCCGCATGACGTCATACCCCCACCACCGAAGAATCCCCGTGCTACGCTTCCCCTCGCCTACGAGTATCCCCCGCACCCCGCGCTCCCCTCAGAGGACCTGAGTTAGAATCCCCATAGTATTCCTACTTGAGTGTCATCGGCTACACCGTCAATTACATACTGGATTAATGCTTCCGATTCAATTTTGCCTCGCGATGCCAATTCTTTCATTGCCAGATAATACTCTTGCAGCGACTCTTCCTTCTTTAGTTTCCTTTTGCGTAACATCTCGTGCACCTGAGCGCTATTCACCTTGTCCGAAAATTCATCTTGAAGGATTGTCTTTAATTTTTTCCATGTACGAACAACGCCTTCACTTTCAATAAACATCTTAGCCGGACCGGATAAAGACTTTTTGGCAAACACTACTTTTTGTATCTCCGCCCACTCAAACAGGTCGGCTGTTTCTTCAAACTCCGTTATCCACCTCTCTATTGGATAAGTATCCTTTCCACTAAAATTTCTGATAGAATCCTACACATCTCGATAAGTCATTGAAAACTTCATGCGCGTTTGACCCACTGCTCTTGCCGGACGTCTCTCTTCTTGCTCTTCGCCGCTCGCCTCGTTATCGTCGTCGTTTCTATGTTCTTTGCCATCATCGATCTCGTCAGATTCACATTCGTCTTCTTCTGAATCGTCCTCGTCAGCTGAAGAGACAAGCGCATTGATATCTAATAGCCCATCCAGAATTCGTATTATTATTTCCTCTTTGTTACCGCTATATTCCAAACCAAGAATATTACAGAACGAAATCAAGTCGCCAATTGTAAGCTTGCGCGCGGATTCTAATTTGTCTGCATATTCCGAAGAATCTTTGCGGAACGTGAATCCTGGGAAATCCCTGAGACGCTGGAGATTTCTACGATCGCCTTCTCTCCCGAAAATAAGGTTATGTAACGCAGTCGTAGCCGCCGTCGACGCTGAACGTATCTTTAGCTTGATTGCTTCAATCTCAGCGAGACTCTTATAACCAACCATTTTATGGCGGTAGGTTTGACAACATCACACAAAAACACCTTAACCTCGCGCGTCTTTCACTGGAGAAATATACCTTCCGGCGTTAGTTAGCGTCTTCTTACTTCTATCGTCTTATCACTCTCTCTTTTCTAGAGCTTTGCGTACTCGCCTTTCGTCGTCTCTCTTCGTCTTTCGTCGTCTCTCTTCGTCTTTCGTCCTCTCTTTTCGTCTTACGTCTTCACTTTCTTCTCTTCGTCTTTCGTCGTTGCTTTCGTCTCGCGTCTTGTTCCGTTCACACAATCACTGATTTTTCGTCTTTCGTCTTCCCTTTTCGTCTTACGACTTCACTTTCGTCTTTTTCGTCTTCCTCCTTTTATCTCTTGTTTCGTCTTTCGTCGTTGCTTTCGTCTTTTTGTCTCGTTCCGTTCGCACAATCACTGATCGCGGCCGAACCCCCAATTCTTGTAGGATAATGTTTATTAATTCAGTGTCTAGATGAGTAATATAAGGTTTAATGTGATACAGAGGATCGTACAAACGAAGCAAGAACACACACTTCTTATCAGCTCTCGAACTCTCGTTCTCACCAGACTCATTCGCTCGCCAACCTCGCAAAATTCCCACCATCTAGTCTTCTCTTATTCTCTCCTCAGATCTCGCGCCCTCTATCGGATTCCAAAATAATAAAAGGACTCGGTCGGTGCGGGACGCTCCCCACATTTATTAACAGTTTCAACATATTAACATCTTTATAATATGATGCTTGATGGTAGCATCAAATTATTAAATTGATTAGCAATTTAATTCGCGATTACTAGAGTAGTTTTAATTACGTTTATAGTCCGGAAAAACAATTCGGCGCGCGGTTCTATAAAAGACTACAATATGGTATATATGCAAGTGCATATATGTATAATGTATATTAGTAACCGTTAAACTATTCAGGTTAGAATCTGTCACATCGATGGAACAGAGGAACACGTATGAACACGTGAGGCTAGAATAAATATTCTCTGCTGTTCAATTAATATTATCTTATAAAAGTAGTAATTCAATTAATACATGATCGTATACAAACTTACCTTTTTAAAAAAAGGTAAAAAAAGCGCTAAGCGTGTATGTTTCTCGTGTAGAACTATCATTTGGGCCGATTTCACCAACGCCAATTATTTAATCAGCCGTGGAACTGATGACTAATCGCGTTTGCTGTTTAGTACTTACGGTTGACAGTGAATCACCGATTAGGTTTAACCGAGTTGATGTTTTTTCTTCAAGGATATTCTTATAATGATATGTATCATTCCTATAAAAGATTTGATATCAACAAAACTGGCGCTAAGTTAAATTCCATGTAATTCGTGCGGATACCAAATTATATAAATAATAATAACTTTAATGATATCACTCCTATAAAAGATTTGATATCAAAAACTGGCGCAAGGTTAAATCCTATTTCTCTCTCTCTTTATACCATGTCAAATTATTAATCTTATGATATGTATCATTTGTATAAAAGAATTGATATCAACAACTGTGGCGCCAAGTTAAATTCGACTATCAAAATGAAAAGTAAAACACAAGTGATACTATCTTTATTATTTACTTAATCCAAATGGTACTATCTTTAATTTTTATGCAACGAAACCTAAGTATACGTATACTTATTGAAGAATCTTCCTATTCCAATCCAAATGGTTTAAATTCTTCTTAAATGAAATTATTATATCACATTTCATTCAAAGACATTTCCTCTTCCAACTAAAGTAGTGGTTATTTAATTTTCCTTCAAAACATTATACAAAATATTATCACAAAATTGCGTTACCTTGCTCAATTTAAGTGTTATCACAAAAAAT